AAAAAAAAAAAAAAAAAAAAAAAAAGAGAAACGAGGATAAAGGAGCAGTGTGTGATGGAGTGGGAGACACTCTTTGGTGGAGCAATGAAATAAGTCGTGTCAGTTCTTTTGCTTTTGGTACAAATAGACTAAAACCCAACTGAATGTGGCCTAAACAAAAAAGGAAATTTATTATATCACATAACAAGGCCAGAGGTAGGAGGGCTCATAGTAACACAAGGATACCCTCAACCAACCGTGTTTTCTCTGCTTTGCCATCTTTGGTATATCAGTTTTGACTTCCAGAAAAATAGAGATTCTGGGGCAGAGTAAGTTTTTAGCTGAAAAGATACAATTTGAATACAATTTTAGTGTAAAGTCTTTAATATTTACACATGTTTATCAGTATATGAAAGAAAGCACAGACTTCTGAAGCCTGTGTCTCTAACCAAAAGCAAGGATGGGACCTCTAAAAGGTAGAAATCACACATTTTCACAAAGAAAAAGGATGGCTTGGTTTAAACAACCTAACTTGGATTGTCAGCTCAAAGTTGATTGGTTATAGTGGAGTCTGGCACAGTTGACTGTTATGCTCCAAGTCAGTTTGTTTAATCCAGATAGTATAGGCAAAAATTTATCATCAGGCAGCTTTCCTACCGACTGTGATGAGCTTTCTGAAAAGTGGTTACTTTGGTTCCATCTTCTGGAGTTCTGGGTTATACAGTGTGCAAATCCGAATGCACATACTCAAAGTTCAGCAAAAATTTATTTTATTCTTCTCTTCATGGACATAGATAGCTGCAGCAGTTCCAGATGTCAGATCCAGATATACAATATCTAAGGGCTATCTTGTATTATGCTGTAGCACAGTGATTTATTGTCTTCAGTAATCCCTTTCAGCAGTTAGGACTGAATATATACTAGACATAATGTACTGAATTAAAAATGCAACGTTGTTTTACCCTCTAGCAGTGAAGCAGTAAAATATTGGTCAGAATGGGAATCATGGGTAGGTCTAATCATGCAGGAACAGGCGATTCTAAATAAGTTGCCAAAGAAATTCATTTTGCATCAGATTATCTTCTTTTCTGGGTAAATGTTGTTTAGGAGCTCTTGGTTACATAGCAAATAATCCCTGAATTCAAGGGCTGTTGTGTTATTACTGAACATCTTAAAGAGCTTACTTCCCTGCTCTGCCTCCCCTAGGAGATCCACGTCAATTTCTGTCTAACTACTGGTACAATAGTTGAGGGAAGTGGGCTTTTGGCAAGCACACATTTGGGATAAAAGTAGAAAATAAAGGCCAGAAATCTTCTGTTTCTTCCAGAGAAAATACCAGAGCATATTTAAACTCAGGGGTTGTGTGCTGTCTCTGGGGAATTTGCCCTGAGGCTATTTTGATACATGAATTAGCGGTCTCTTCGGTCATAGTTTCAGCATACTACATATGTTCTTTATAATTTGGAAACATTAGGGCGAGACTGGAGAAAACAGGAGGGGATTGTTAGCCTAGAAAAAAGGTTGAAGGAATGAGGGTGTTCTAGGGACCATGCAGATGGACTAAATCAGTTTCATGAGTTTACCTGGGGCCAGGTTGAAATGGTTCCTTTCAAAGCTCCTGTATCTGGTTGAACCACATCTCTGCTCCAGGTTTTGTGTAAATTTCATTCATTATTGCAACTCGTTTGCCATTACCTAATTCAATTCTTTTTCAGTGAATCTGGCAGTGTATTTCTTAGAAACAACATGAATGATGATGGCTTAAACCAGTTTCATGTCAAATATCCCTTCCTGGTTCAGTTCATGTTTTGGGGGCTTTTTTTTTTTGAGATGGAGTCTTGCTCTGTCACCAGGTTGGAGTGCAGTAGCACGATCTCTGCTCATTGCCTCCTGGGTCCAAGCAATTCTCCTGCCTCGGCCTCCCACATAGCTGGGACTACAGGCGTGTGCCGCCATGCCCAGCTAATTTGTCTATTTTTAGTAGAGATGGGGTTTCACCATGTTGGCCAGGATGGTCTCGATCTCTTGATCTCGTGATCCACTGGCCTCAGCCTCCTAAAGTGCTGGGATTTTAGGTGTGAGCCACCGTGCCCGGCCTTGGGGGCTCTTTTTTTACATAAGCAGCAGTATATCCCTTTAAAGAGATTTTGAAACTTTATAGTGCAGTTTAAATTCCGGTTAACTAGTTATACAGTTTAGATTGGCAAAGCAGATACAATGCCAGCATAACATTTATTTATTCACCAAATGTTTGCTGAGTGCCTGCTGTGTGCCATGAATAGGACAGCTGTCTATTTAAGGTTTTAATAATACCTATTTAGCAATTATTATTTATTGCTACTGGAGCTGATGCTGTCTGACTTAGTAGAATTTATTTTAGGAATAAATACATATTAATCATGTTTCTGACCTATAACATAATAGTTCATACTTAGCAACATTCAAATATTTTTATTCAACCAGCTTGGTCAACATGATGAAACCCTCTCTACAAAAATTAGCTGGGCATGATGACATGTGTCTGTAGACCCAGCTACTGGGGAGGGTGAGGTGGGAGGATCACCTGAACCTGGGGAGGTGGAGGCTGTAGTGAACTGAGATTGCACCACTACACTTCAGCCTGGGCAACAGAGTGAGACTGTCTCAAAAAAAAAAAAAAAAAAAAAAACGGCTGTAGTGCAGTGGCACAATCTCAGCTCACTGCAGCCTCCACCTCCTCAGTTTCAGGCAATCCTGAGTAGCTGGAATTATAGGCACATTCCACCACACTTGGCTGATTTTTCTATTTTTTTTTTTTTTTTTGTAAAGACAAAGTTTCCCTATGTTGTCCAGGCTGGTCTCAAACTCCTGGACTCAAGTGATCTGCCCTCCTGGCCTCCCAAAGTTTTGGGATTACAAGTGTGAGCCATCACGCCTGGCCAACATTTTTTAAAAAATTTGAAACCATACACACAGGCTTACACTTATATAGACAAAACCCTCTTTTGGCCCACCAGTTCCCATTCTCCTTTCCTTACCACAGAGTTGCTTTTCCTGCCATCTTTACTTTCCACCCTCATACTCATGGGCCCACTTAGATCAGGCTTCATGCCACCGAAATTGCTCTTGGAGGTTACCCTTAATGATACCAAATTTACTTTGCATGATTGATCATTCTCTCCATTTTGAAATATTCTCTCCACTTGGCCTTCAGGACACCATTCTCTTATGGTTCTCCTCCTGTGGTTTCAGCTTCTGTTGTCTTTGCTGGTTCCTCTTTGTTTACCTGACCTCTAAACCTTGGAGGGACCTGGGCTTATATATGGGTGGGTGGGTGGGTG